CGCTGGAGATTTGCAGGTCTCTTAGCCATTCATTTACCAACTTTCTCCTTTTCTTCAACCCAGTTGTACTTTTACCATCTGCACTTGTTCTGTTAGTATCCCGCCCTAATGACAGAAACCACCATTGATAACTTGAATTTATCCCTACCACATTGTATATGTTCTTAGCATCTAAAGTGAAATTATGAATGCATTTTCCCAGAGACATTAGTTGTTTCATAAATTTAGGTCTTAGGAGATCATTAGTTGTAATGTGGAGAACTGATTATTTAGAAGAAAGAATGGAAGCAAGGGTTTACTTGGGAGACTATCTCAAAAGTCTAGGCACGAGGTGATAAAAGCTTTGATTAGGGAGGTAGTAGGGACAAGAAATGGAAAAAAGTAGATGGATTCAGGACAAATCTTGCAGTACAACTGACAGGCTTGAATTTGAAGCAGAAAGAGAGTGAAAAAAGAAATGAAGAGATGGTATGGACATTCACTGAGCTGGGGAATACTCAAAAAGACAGAAAATCTCTGGGTGGCAGAGGTGGGGTGACAAGGAAGAGTACTGTTTTTTGATATGTTAAGTACCACATCTAAGTGGAAATACTAAGTAGGCAGCTGAATATAGGACTCTGGACTGACGAAGAGAGATACAAATTTGGTGGTCTTTAGCATACAGAGTATATAAAATCATGGAATCAGGTGAAATCACATAGAAAGAGAGAATAAGAAAATGAAGATACCAGCTCTGTCACATTTAAGGTTAAGGTCTATATAATTGCATTATTAGATATACAGAATTTTAGGCTTCCTTTGTAGACTACTTAATATGCATGAGAATGTGCATCTAAGATTCTAAGCAATAGAGATAAAACACATTTCTGAACACAAGAATTCTTCATGTGGGAAACTGTCAGCATAACAAAGGGTTTATATTAGGTAGAATCACTGTGACACGTTGAAAGAATTGCATATAAAAGTAAATACATCTTACTCTTCAATAACCGTAGTTGGTTATTTATCTGGATTGCTTGGAAACTACAGACCAGAGTTTTCTAAAAAAAACATCTGATTTGATATTTCTACCTATTTTACCTTATTTTACATAACTACTACCAAAATGCCAGTTTTGATTTGCTACAAAGTATAAAAGCCTTTTCCTTGCTTTATGAGAAAAAAGAGGAAATTACTAGAAAAATATGTTGGTTATCTTTACCTATCTAAAAGCCATGAACATAAAAACATTGTGGTTTGCCTATAAAATTACAACATAGAATGAATTTTAAAGAATAAATAGTTCACTGAGACAATAACTAAAATTTTTACTAATTGAATCACTGTTTAAAATTTTTATATTTTAAACACAGTTTTGGCAGTTATGGAAAGCAGACAAAAGAAAGATGAAGAATGTTACAGAAAAAATGTTTTATGAAGGGAAGTGCTTTCCATGGTGTCCAGCAGTTATTAATATTTTCAGAAAATACCTACACAAAGGAGCAAGAGCTCAAAATTCACTACCTAAATATGTTGCCACCAGGAATTTTCCATATCTGTTTCAGTATCAGAGCTATGTTGCAATCAGTAGTTCGTATATGCTGTGGCTTTTTTTCCTTTTTAAATCAGCTCCCAGACTTCTGAGCAATGAATGTATGCCAGGACTGAGTCAAGTTTTCCTACCTTTTGAATGAGCGTTTCTTGATTTCTGTGTATATTAAAAAAAAGAAAGAAAAATACAAGACCAGTTTAAATCACAATTGGAAGTCAGAGGTCGAGGTGCATTTAAAAAGACTATCAGCTTTTTTTGGCATCCTTTATCACTAGGACTCTCACATCACCTTACTCTGGGTGTTCTCTGACCTGACTCACTCCCAAGCACCAACCCTCTCCTCACCCACAACTCCTACTGCGTCCTCTGAATCTTCTACTCTTAATCACAAAACCCTATGCATGCAATCTCTTCTCCAAACTTTCCTCATCCTTCCTTTTTGTAACTAAAACTTGATGAAGCAGGACCAGTAAGTCGAATACCCTACAGCTCACTTAACGGGAGACTGTTTCTCACTCTTACGGCCAGTCATCTCTTGGCACCACAAGAAATTATTTTGCATATAATTTTCTATATGTTATTCCATACTTGTACTCTTAGAGGATCTTCTAAATTAGGATAGCACACTTCTATCAATTTAGTAGCATTCTAGTAGCTATGATTTAGTGATTTAGTCATTCTATTAGCATTTGGAAATGCAGAATTCATTTGAGTGTTCAGAAGTTCTGTTGATTCATAGAAGGCTGGTTACTGTTTTATGAGAGTTCTTTTCTGAGAATACTGTTTAAATGAGTTGTTATAGGACCTCATCTAGAAACACAGCAGTTCAAGCTCGTCCTTTAAGTTAATAGTCAGAATCTATCAGCTTGCTGTTGATTTATTATATTACAAGTGCAATGATTAGTTAATTCAATTATTTATGAACTCATGTTTATGTATTAAGTCTACACCATGGGCTAGGCACCATGGCATGCCTTCAGGATACAATAAACAAAACAGAAGTGGGCTCTTCCTTCAGGAGATAGATATAAACAAATAAGAACATGTTATTAATTATAAAAGACAATTATCACAAAGTATTATTTAATTCTATAAATACTCCATTGAAAAAGTCCAGAATGTAATGCCTCGGGTCGGGGGAAGTGGAATATAAAGGATATCAACTTGTTGAGTGGATATTTTAGGAAAAAAGGAAACAGAAAACTAGATGAGAGCAAAGAAAAATCTACCACTGTTTTTCTTCTCTATTTGTATACACCAATGATTGAAGCCCAAGTAGCCCCTGCATTATGGCAGCTTAAAAAAAAATTCTGGTGATCACAGCTGTGAGTTCTCATACATTGTTTCCGTCTGCCAGTAAATGGCCTGTGGGTTCAGAACAGTTGGTGCTCTGCTTCTTTAGTGGACTCTGGAAACACAGTAGAGAGTTTAACTGACATGTAAACAGAAGACTAGGGGCTCAATGTTTTGATCCAACTCTTCTTTTTCTCTTGGAGTTTTATAAATGTTTTCTAGGTTCTTACATATGGCTTTTTATTTTTTTTCTTATTCAGGATTATTCAGACTAGCTTTTTCAATTCAGTGAATAATGCTTTTGTTTTCATTGTTATTTAAAGCATAGATAGCATTCCCTGATTCCACTGTTTGTCAGATTTTTAAAAAAGTGATAATTATAGATACCTGACTCAGTGTGGTATGCCACCAATCATAAGGACATTGTCCTGGTTTTGATTTCAAAGCCATCTTGAGCAAGATTCCTTTGAATTGGAACATGAATCAGCATTTAGCGAAGCTGAGTTTAAGCCTCTACTCCAGATTTTGAGTGACAGAAAACTTCTAAATAGGGCACTGTTTGTTCATAGTTTTAGGTATCTGTGATTTACTTGGCTTTGTTAGACAATAGGGGCTTTGGTTCAGTTATATTTTTAACATTCCTTAAAATAAATCAGAGTGTTCCCATTCTGGATGTGGATTAGTATGGCGCAGGAAATGAAGAACTTGCAAGTTCCGAGTATCCAGGGATTATGAACTGGGCTCTGTGCTGGATTGCCTTGGTTAATATTTTTTTGGTTGCACGTAACAGAAACTGGCTCTGGCTAGCTTAAGGGAAAAAAGTAAGTGGTGCTGGCATATCAGAAGAATCCACAACTCAGGAAAGACAGGGATCAGGAGACTTCTGACCTCAGAGGTTGTGTTCATGTCTGTCTCCCTAGGGAATGTAGCTGAAGTGTCTCACTATACGACAGGAAGCCCAGTTGGGGCCAGATCTTTACAATAGCTTTTTCTCTGGGACTTTTTCAACACTGGATCCCAGATAGATTTAAAAATTGCACAAAGCAGATACTCATTTTTTTGGTGGGGGAAAGAACTTTTCTATGAATGCATGCTCAAGCATGCTACTAAAAACGGCATCAATGTTTGGTAATGGCTTTGTCATTCAAAAAATCTAATGTCTCTCTTACTGTCAGCCTTTCAAGATGGTGCCTTATTCACCTAAACATAAAGGTATGAAATGTTATATAAAAAGAGTTAAGGAAATCGTACAATAGGCAAAGAAAGTTTTAGATACAAAACATTTGACTACTTCTTTGAGACTTCTAGCTCACATTTCAGGGAAAAATTCTTACCTTTGGTCACAGCACAATACATAATCATCTAAGTCTCTCAGTGAATACTACCAGAAATGGTCACTGTCCTTCTGATAACCAGAGCAAAAACAGAATACAGTCCTGCATGTGGAAATCTATTATTTGAAGAGCACTGAAACATATTAGCTAATTTAGTTTGGAATGATTATTGTATTCAAATAATGAATTCTAAGCCCAGATGATTATTCTGTTATCTTTAAGGGCAGCTCTGTGGGGAAAAAAGCACCACAGCAATCCAAGAGTTTATCATCACACGTGGCAGGTGTTCTGCAAATACTCATAGACTGCTGTCAATTTGTTTGAAATTACTTCAGACAATTATTAGTTTATGTCAACAGTAAAGTTGGAACCCTAAATGGAAGAAGAATCTTTCTGTGGTAGGGGAGAAAGAGAGGTATAGACTATTATATTCTCTTGATATTTTCTGGACCTTAGTTTGTTTCCTTCTATGTTTCATTTTCACATAAATCATATCTGAGTAACTTGTAAAATATCATTTTAAATTTGATGACAGAGTCAGTGATTTTAAATATGACCATAACATTGTGTTATTGGCTCGTTCCTTAATTAACCCTCTCTCCTTTTTATACTAAGCTGCATTTCAATTCAGTGGCCTGCTTGCTTTAATTTCTTATTTAAATTTGTAAGAGAAAACTAGTTATCTACATTTAAAGATTCTTAGTAAATGGTATTGTAACTACTTAGGGAGAGGTATATGTTAAAAACATCATCTTTCATGAAAATATAAGTTTGGGAACATTTTTTTAAAAGAAGAATTAATTTTAAAAGAAAGGATAAAAAAAGAAATAATAATAACCAAATAAGTTTTTGGAGCTCTTTTTATTACACTCAGAAATCCCAGAAAAGTACAAAGCCCATGAAAGTAGAAGCATTTCAGAAAACCAGACAAAACGTTTGCATACATTTTAATGACATTTAGTTGTGATGTTAAAAAAACTCATGATTTCCCACTGAAGAACACTGCTCATAAATTAAGTACATTTTGCAGTACAAGAATTTCATCTCTTATATTTGAACCTCAATTTGTATAAATTGTTGTTATATTCTTTTTCCAGAGATTAAGTTCATGGCATGATTCATTTAAAAAATGGCTTTATTGATTCATAGTGACTTTGAAGAACAGAAATAGGAAATAAGCATATATCACATACATACCACTTTAAGTGGTACATCAGATCAAAGATGAATTAATAAAATAATCTTTAGTGTTTTCTATTTTTACCAATGAAAATAGATCCCACTACAGAAAAGAAGTTTGGTATTATCAGAATGAGATGTCGAAATCCATGCTGTTTTTATCCTCAAAATCAAAAAAATATGATTACATTCTAGAATCTTACCAAGAGTCACTGGGAAGCAACAAGTAAAGAGATTTACTTTTGCCGAATACAATATAATAGGCCACTGGAGGCTATAAAGTTTACTTAATTAACTTTGGTAATGTGGCAATTTTCAATAGCTTTTGGGTCACATCATACTTTCTGTTGCTGCTGCTACTACTATAACTACAACTACTACTAAAATAATGGTAAATGTAAAGGAGAAAACAAAAGAAAATAAATTAGATTTCTCGATAGTTCTAAATATTGTTTTGGTTTATCCTTGAAGTGGAAATCAATTCTCTAAGGTGTGAAAAGAAAACAAAAGCATCCTTATAATTCACAGCATGTATTTTAGAGGTCTAATGATTTATCCATTGCCAGTGTGGGTTAGCTTGTCATGTTCTCTTTATTCAATGTCAACTGGTTCCGTAGCTATCAAAGCACTTAACTGTTTCTGAGCACAGGAGAGGAACAGTTCCAAACTGGACAGGCTTCTTTGGCGTATGACTTGATCAAGCTGTTGATTTTTTTTTTTGAGAGAGAGAGAGAAATAGAAAAAAATACACTTAGTTGAGGGATAAAGAATATTATGCCACTGAAGCCTACTAGAGAAACCTTTTCAGATGATGATTTAGAAAATCAAATAGTGCTTTAAACTCAGAGACAATGTAGTCAGTATTCCTGGGTTATCGTCTAAGGTGAGATGATAATCATTACAATAATTGATGTTAGTATTCAGTTATTGGAAAAATAAGAAAATTTGATCAGAGTGATTTAAAAAATATATAAAATAGTAAAAAATTCCAGTTCTTAATGAAAATACAGGCCAAACATCCATAAAGATCATCTAAATATAATAGATGTAAGAAAAGAAATACACAGTACAGAAAAACAGCATATTTCTACCATGCATAGGGTTTAGTAGGACAAAGGAGAAGTGAAGGGATAAGCAATTTTCTGATTTAGAGAAAAGTTCTTGGGAAAAGTGTACTTTAAGAAATATTTGATACTGTTGAAACTTATTTGACTTCGTTTTCCTGCCGAGTTAGAGATATTTTGTTTAAATATTAGGATATTAGGATTGTTTAAATGTTTCAATAGAAAATTAATAAATAAATCAGAAGGTTTAATAATAAAACAGGAGGTTTAATAAAGAACATTCTGGATAATAAGGATTATTGATATATCAAGAAAATTTCTAACTCTCCTGCTCTAAAAAATTTGCCCATAGTATAAAAATAACAATGATAGCACACTGCCTACTGGTTACAGAACTATCAAGGAACTCAAAAGAAAGCCAAATAAAGTTCATTTCACAATCTATATCTGTCATATTTATGTAAGAGTCGACATATTTTTCCCACAAGTTCCTGCAAACAGAAAAAGAGACAAATCCAAGCAAAAATTCTGAATTAAACTAAACTTCTATAATCCACTGACATTCTAAGTGACTGAAAAATTGGAAGGTTACAGCTTTGAAGTATCTTAAGAATTAACAAAAAAGAATGCATTATATTTAGAAAAATGCTCATGTAAAAAAATTGAACACCGGTAAGAGTCCCTTAAATTCTAATATTTTAGGATTTTAATATATGCATAGGAATAGAATTTCTGCTTATCCTTTTCCTCGTTGTTTTTCTTCTTCTCTCAGATAATACCTTTAGGTGAGTATATACTTTCTGCTTAGAAGTCTCTGTTAAATAAGCTAGGTCATTGCATTATAAACTCCAGGTGAGCAGAAATCTTGTTTGTCTTGCTAACTAGCGTACCCCAGCATCTAGAAGAAGGTCTGACACATATTAGACACTCATAAAATATTTGCTGAAATTGAATGAATCAATAAATATTTAACCCCAATAGAGCAAGGCAATCTACTAGAAAATGATAGATGGGCTTTTAATTCTGAGAGTGAAAACATGCCTAACTTAATCTAAAAGATATGTAGGGATTAAAATTGGATTTTTAAAAGTTTTATTTTTAGATATGTAAACCAGATTGAAATCTAAATAAATGCAGTTTTTAAAATTATTCTGCACTTGGTCCAAATTCAAATAATACAGAAGAGTATACCAACACCGAGCTCCATTCCATTTCCAGTGGTTTCTGTCTCCTTTTGGATGTTTTCAAGCATTTAAAGATAGATTTTAAAAAATATTTTGTCCAGATCTTATCATTGGTAACTTTGGGAGGGTTCACAAAATCAGTTAGTTCCATTGCCATTACTGGAAAATTTCCCTATCTCATTTTTAAGAAATTGTTTAACTGTACTCCATGATTTATTTAGTTATACACTCCAACTGATAGACATGCAAGTTTATCGAAATTTTGTTTGGTTGATTTTGAAGCACCAAAGAAATTTACAGCCTGAGGGCACTCCCTTCAAAAGATGTTCAAGGGTTTCTCTTGGACAGATTCTAATACATGGAATTTTAAGTCATAAGATTTGTATATTTTAAATTGTGATAGATATTACCAAATTGCTTTCCAGAGTGAGAATATCAATTTATGAGCACCATCTGCAGCATTGGAGAGGACCTGTTTTCCGTGTTTTCTTCTTTTAAATGGTTGTATACTTTTCTAGTATATATTTATATGAATATTTTATTATTTATTTAAAATTTTTTCTATTTATAGACATTTGGATTATTTCTAATCTTTTGCTATTATAATCAATGCTGTAATGGGCATCCTTCAACATAGACCTCTGTATACTTATGCTGATATTCTTATGGAAATTACTGAGTCAAAAAATGTCACCTCCAATGTTACTTCTATGATAAATCAGGTTTCCATATATGCATGAATCTTTGGGCTTCTTAATCTGTTCCCATAGACAATTCATCTATCCCTACAGAAATATAATGTTGTCTTAACACTACAACTTTATAATAAATCTTAATATATCACATATTAACAACCATATTAACTCCCACACCATCTAAATATTTCAGATAAATATAAATTAGTGAACACATAATAGAATTTTTTTAAAAAGTGATTAGACTAGACTGATACTCCTTTTTTTCATAGAGCACAAAAAACAAGCAAAGTTCAAAGGTATATTCTTTTGAGTTATACCAATAGGCGATCATTTCTAAGGCAAGGGAATTATGCAGTCAAAACTGAGGATAGTTGTACCCGGAGTTGTATTGGGAGGGTGGAGTCAGGTAAGATGAGATATATAGATTTTGGCGGTAGCTTCATGAGTAATTTTTTTACTATTACGTTTCATGACTTATATGTGTTAGCTAATAATTCAAAGTCTTTTGAAGGCCTCCTAGAACAATCAGGAGTCCCATTAAAAGCAATTCTAACTTAATATCTTAGAAGTTTATGGATGTTAGATAAAGGAGAAACTTTTCTCTTTTTGAAGGTACATAGAGCACAAACAATATATAACTAGCATTCAATCTGTGATTGTTGCTAAGTAATAATAATCATCTGGATTTATGCATTCAGAATGAATATTGTGTAATTGTTTTTAAAAAAGCAAGGATATGTATAAGGATAAAAAAGTTTGACAGAATTATATTTAAACACACCAAGCACTTTTCTCTTCCTTGTGTTAGGAGTCACTCTCTAATTAGTGACTCTAAGATGATGGATGTACTGGTTTTGGGTTTAGGCAGATGCAAGGCTCACTTCATTTCTTTCACCATGCCTCCCCAGAAATATTTGAAGGCAAGAATCCATTTAATAAACAGGAGCTCAACACTTTAAGAAGCAACAAGGTGACATTGACAATGTGAAGAGTAATATCGACTGGGCCATTTCAGTGCTGAGCTTCCAATTCGGTGGGTCCTTCCTATGACGGGGATCACTTGAGACCTTTCTCTTAGATGGTGAATTTCTCTCTCTGAAACAAGTACATCAAACTGATGATCTTGGCGAATTTCTGAATTTCAACAGCTTCTGTTTTATTTGGCATTACCTTAGTATCTTTTATTGAAGCAAGAAGAATTTTGGCATAATATTCAACTCTTTTTGCCCCTTGAAGAATGGGGTTTAGTTCTGTATTTGTGGTTTTCATTTCAAAGTGAATCAAAGATTTGTATTCTGTGACTTCATGCTGACAGTATTATATCCAGAGTAGTAGTAGCAAATATTTTTGGATATGAAGTTTACAATCTCTTCATAACAGTGTAGCTCTAACTGCTTTGTTTTCCCTTCCATTTTGTTGCTGCAGCTGCTATTCAGCTTGTAGATACCTGAAAAATCTGGAATTTCTGAGTTCTCTGAAATATATACCGTGGCGTTATAAATCTCCCCACACCCCTTTGTTATCTCTTCAGTTTGCTGGTATGCTGCTGAAAACAATTTAGAAACATACTACTTGCTAAAAGTTAATATTTATAAGCTTAAAGGAAAAAAAAGAACACATGACTTCTCAATAGTTGCTAATATTAGATTTACCTTTCCATTGGTACTTCATGCCGTAGCAAAAGAAAAACAAAACATCTGTAGACCTTATCTTTCTTTTATTTCCTAGTCACTAAAACACAAAATGAAGGATGGTGAATTTATACTGGTCTAAAGAACAAAATTCAAAGTCAGTCATAAACAAATATGGTTTATTTTAATGGAACTGTTAAGAATACTGTTTATATTCCTTAAAATCTGAAAATCTAATACATTGTTTTTGAATATATATATATATATATGTATGTATGTATGTATCTTATTCTAACAAGGTATACCAAGAGATGTGAAAACAGGTTTACCTTTGTCAAAGTTACTTTTACAACTTATTCTCCTGCAAATTTTAAACTTATGATTAAAAAGTGACCTAATTTTTCAAAAAGAATGGATATCCAAAAAACCATGGATTGGAAGTGACTCACAGCAAATGTTATCAGTTTAATAATAATAATAATATGTTTTATGAATTCGATTTTCATATTCACTGACAAGCTCTTTCACAGATATTGAAGAAAGGTCAAGTTGATGATATGGAACTGCATGCAATTACTCAGGCAGATTTCCAGTTAACATCACCATATTGAGTAAGCAGGGTGTTTACCTTCTGATAAGAAATGAAATTGTTCTTCAGTTTCTTATTATGATGCTGTCCTTTTAACATTGTTATTTGAATATGAATGTCTCTTTTTCTGACTTTTCCATATACTCCTTCCCATATACACTCAAGCTGTTTGAGATTGAGACAATCAATTAATCAATTAGTCAATCAGTTGCTCAATAAAATAATCAAAACTGCCCAATATTTGTGCTCTGACATATGGGCAAAAAAAAAAAAAAAAAAAAGAAAGAGTATATAATAATGTCCTTGTCCGTAAGAGGTTTGTAGTCTTGAGAGACATACATGCAATAATTAAAGAACAATTAGGTGCTGACATCTACGGTAAAGACAGAGTCCAATGGGAGATCAGAGAGTTGGAGAAGATCATGGTGAGAGTGTATAGCAGAGAAAACTTACAAAAGTGGAACTCAAACAGGCTTTTAGAGTACCAAGGGCATTTCATCAAAGAACAACAATATGTGGAAGAAAATTTAGGAAAG